CTGACCATTTACCGCTACTGCTCCAATTTCCAGCATTCCGTTTACAGTTTTCTTCCTTCGTTAATGTTTTCACTCTCTCTGTCCTCTGTTTGTCTTTCTCGTTCGCTCTGTCTGTTTTCGCATTCATATTTTTCTTCCGCAACACTTTTGACCAATTCATTTCGCCATTTCCCACACCCTGTCGAGTCTTTTACTTTCCGCTAAACTAAAAATACTTTCCCGCACACACGCAAAACAATTTGTATAGAAAATTGTTCAATTTATAAACGTTTCAATGATTTTCGCACAACATTTTGCTTGGAACCTCCACCCCCGGCACTCATCGCCACCTGCTCTTCGTGCTGTTGTTGTGCAGCGCCACACTGATTCAATGGCTAATGAGAATGGCATTTTCTGGAAGACTTTAACTGAGTTAGGACTGTTTAGAAGTGCCAAAAGTTCAGCAAATAATTAATATGTTTATGTTCTCGACCATCGACAACCAAACAATAAAAATTTCAATCACCTGTGTACCACTGTATTCGAAGGCGTCAACGACTCGCCAAGCATATTTCTAAAATTAAATATTTAAATTTGTTTCGTCTTTTCGTATATTCGCTGCCGTGCTCTGCCGCCTTTATAGCGCTATAAACTTTGGCCATATAGAAATCATATTTATTTAAATGAATCTCCAATCAATAAACCCCAGGCACAGGAGCGCAGGCCAGGCAATTCTGCGGAAACTATCATATGAATCATGTTCCCCGAAAAAGGGGGGGTTAACCACCATTAGCCACAATAACAGTAACTGATCTCACTCGTGAACATGCGCTGGCGCTGATAAGAAGACTGCACGAAAAAACAAAATCGTGTTGAAAAGATAAATGATAAAATGAGATAATGTGTGCAGGAATTGGCGTAACAACTTCCGGTGAGCGGACGCCAGGTACGCACAAAAAAAGCAAAAGAGGAACATCAGCAAGCAGAGGAGCGGGAGCGAATTAATGCAAACAAAAGCTCTCTGCCTCGCACTCTCTTCGAGTGCTCTTCTAGACTGCACACATTTAAGGTGAGGCCGCATAAACTCTACCACTCCAGCTCTCTCCTTCACAAGGCCACCATCGCGTGTATAGTGTCCAAAAAAAGAGAGCTCTCGGGCAACGCCTCGCCTTTTATAAATATACCTTGCGCTGTCAGCTGCTGCTGAACGCTTTTGTTGTTTGGGTGTCTCTGCATTTAATTTTAAACCGTTGCCGCGTACGTGAGCGTTTTTTGTTAATTTAATTTATGCACTGCACTGCGTGGCTGCTTCTTCATTTCTTTATAATGTTTTGTGCAACGCAGCGGGCCGACTACGACAACAATGTGATAAAAACGAGAACTGAAATTGCTGGTTAACAATAACAAAAAAAAAGAAAAAAGAAAGAAAAATAAAATAAAATTACACAAATATTAAAAGTGAGTGAGTGCATCTCCCTCCTTTCCCTCTCGCGCACTCGTATTGCGTGACTTTTCTTTAAGCTCAAGATTCGTATAAATGCGCAGCGTTTCTTATCGCACATTTGCTTTACTTTGCTTTGCGTTGGCCTCTATCAGTTTTTCGTTGCTGGTTTCCTCTGCTACGGGTGCTGCTAGTGTGTGTGTGTGTGTGTTTATTGCATCAAGGTGTATTTACATGGGGTGAAGTATTTACAGTTTGATTGACATATATTGTTTTGTGAGTGACATAAAAAGGGAAAAGAGACAAAGAGACAAAGAGAAAGAGAGAGAGAGAGAGAGTGGTTAGTACACGGTTAAATAGGGGTAGTGGGCATACCTCACCCCTTGTACAAATGAACCTTGGCTGCCAAAAGTAGGTTATGGCACAAAATTTGCAACAAAAACAACAGCCCCCCTTTATCTGTCTCACTCTTTCGTGTAATTGAGCACGCAACCAACTGTTGTTGCTGCTGCTGGAGAGCCGCCGCCTGCCCGCTTGTTTATGGCTCTCTCTCCCCTTGATAGCAGCAGCAACGACACCTGATTTGCTCTTCTCTGTGCATCGACACAATTAAGGTTTAATCGAGACGACAACAAATGGGGAAAAGTGTGAACACAAAACCACAAGACACATGGTGATGTAATTTGCATAGACAGCCGCAGCAGCAGCATCCACTCTGCAAACCACAGAGTACCAATCGGCGCATACTTACACATAACTGGCGGAGTGTTTCAGGTTTGACGCTTCGCACCGCCGCGTAGGCAGTGCTAATAAATACACTTGTCCGAAAGAGTTGCATTAATTGTTGATTGAATTTGAAAAGCGAATCACAGGCCCAACACTCGCAAGTCTCTTCCAAGTTTTAAGGAATATCATATACTTGTTTTCCAAATGCAGTTGATTTCCGGAACATTTATTTCCAGTGCGAGTCAGAGTGTGATTCAATTAATCAAGTGATTTGATTTGTGTGCATGTTATGTGCATTGTTTACCCAGTGATTTGGCTTTTGTTTTGTTTTTATCAGCTTTGACCTTACTCTCGTGTACACACTGTACGTATCTACATTCGAAACAACTCCCAAGAGAGCATATTCATTCTGTAACTCGGTTCATTTATCGCACAGTGAATCATCTGAATGATGAAATTAGTTTGATCTTTAAAACCAGTTCAGTTCTGATTACTAACTGTACGTGAGTGTCTGGCGAGTGTGTAGAGACTATTTTAATTTGCTTTACTTTAACGAACACCGCTATCTTTTCCCGATTTAACTGCAAGCAAAGGGGATCCAGTAGTTTTCCCCTACCAAATTTAAAGCTTCGGACTGAGCGGCAAAATGCCTTAAATGCCATACTCCGCCCTCGCAATCGGGCGCTGTCGTACCAAACAGAATTCTAGCAAGGTGCTGAGTGACTGCCATCAGATATAGTCGTAGTCGGTGGTGAACTGCTTCGATTCGATTCCAAGCGATTGGATTTGAGTCAGCCGCTGCTGCTGGCAGGGAAATTCAAACCGCAACAGCAGGCCAGATATGTATCTCCCGCTTCTGCCCGTCCGTCCATGTCTTCACATCTTCACATCCATGTCCCGTTGTCCGTCTTCGTCTCCGTCTCTGTCTGTGCCTTTGCCTTTGCTGACGTGCAAAGCTCCAACCGACGAGTGTGTCATGTGGATGGCTGGCCAGCAGTGGCAGCAGCAGCGGCGACGCCGCGTTGTCGTAGTCGTCATTTGCTGGTTTTAGACAATGCTACAAGTTCCTACACCTACGACCTAGAATCTGCCGAATATGTCAACAGGTACGACGAGTATGAGTATATCTACAATATAGGAGGAGGCAGGCAGCACAAGCCAACGAATATCGTTTATATAAATGAGGCAGGCCAGGCCGGCCACCTATCTATATATAAATGGTAGATATTTATTTATATGTTATAGTATATGGGGACTATGTTTATAGAAACTAAAGGGTAATTTATTTCATTTCATTCTGGTAGAATACATTTTTCGATATTATTTAGTTTGTTTGCAACTTGTGGGGGCATTTCACATCCGACTAGAAGATTAAAACAAGAATATAAAGATATAATATGTATTAGCATGTTCATTCAAGGAAAGAGAAACTGATTTGAGCCGATCCCTGGCACTCCACGTGGTTTTTCTCTCACTCTCTCTCTTTTATTAGCCTAATTGGTTAGGCAATTTGCGGGTTACATATGAAGAAGATTCTATTCCATTTTAATAAGTTTTCACTGTAATATATGTAAAACTGTATACCGATTATCCGCAACGTGTTTTAATGCTTGTTTAATCTGTGTTAATGACAAATTTATGTGAATCTCACGCACACGCATCTCCCATTGAATGCCACATAAATTAGAGCACAGAACTTAGAAAAAATACTCTCACGCGCGCGGCTATATAGCAAAAATGTTGTCTAAATGATCACTTGATCGGTTGAGAAAATCGCGTGAAACGCCCCATAAGAACTCCCAGACACAAGCAACCCACACGAAACAACAGCAACAGCAGAAAACATAACACAAACATTATTGGATACACGAAAGACTCGTACACCCATGTGTCAGAAAAAGTTGGTCAATTTTGAAGATCGTTTCAGTGCTCGCTCGCTCGCTCGAAAATTGATTGTCATTTAGCCTGGGGGGAGGGTCCAACGCGCTCTCCTGTGGCCACAACTTGTGGCAGAATCAACAATTGCCCCGTGTAATGTCTGATAAAAGAAAGAAAGAAACAACAAAACTAAACGAAATTGTGTCAAGGGGGCTGCACGACAACAAGAAACATTAGCGGCAGCAACAATAACAAAGCAAATTAAATAAAATTAGCGACTATTTTGCACGAAAATGTCGGCTGGTGGGTAAACAATAGGAGGAGGATGCGGAGCAGGTGGCAAAGGGTCTGTTGGTGGTGAGGAAAGGCACATGCAAAAGCACACACGCGTGAACGAACAACAGCAACAACATTTGCCCCAAAAGAGTTGACGGACGGCCTGAACGCCCTACACATGCGCCTTCGCCGGCTCAATGGGGGCCTCCACTGTCTCTCTTGTCTGCTCTTTTCTCTCCCTCTCTCGCAATTCGTGTGTGTGTGGGCGCTGCTGCGGCTGCTGGTGGCATAATGGGGTTTTCGTACGACATTGAACTCGAAAAAGTGTCGACGGCGACGGCGACGGCGACGGCGGCAGCCCAACTGAAGCGAAAGAGAAAAAAAGTAAGATGTGGATAATCCCCGACTATACGGCTAATCAGTAAACGAAATTTGTTGCAGGGAATGTGTTCGATCTCCTCTGTCATCGAATCGAGGCATCCGTGGGCTTTGCTCTCATTTTATAGCTTCATTTGAATTTTATTACAGTTAGTTATTCTCCCAGTAAGCCTTTGCTTTCCAGCAATACAATATCCTGAAAATTATACACAATTCGAAATTTCCCGTGTGCTGTTTGTTGTCTGTTTTATCTCCGGTACAAAACTCCCCCACACAAACTGACGTGAATCCTTTTTTAATTTGACTGTTTATTCTCTTGCAGAGGCTGCACCCTTTGCTGGACGGGCGACTACTCATCTAATCGCAATTCCCACAACAATTAGACACTCCGACTGCACACAAGAAACCAGCCAGAATGGTGGACTACTATCAGGTTCTGGATGTGGCGCGCACAGCCACCGACAGTGAAGTGAAGAAGGCGTAAGTAGAGTCTTTGTTTATATTTATATAACCTTATACTTATTCCTCGTGCCTTTTGCAGCTATCGAAAATTAGCACTAAAATGGCATCCGGACAAGAATCCGGACAATCTGGATGAGGCCAATAAACGTTTTCGCGAGCTCTCCGAGGCATACGAAGTCCTATCCGATGGTAAGTTGTGCTACCCACACTGACTCCACAGTCCACAGCCGCAATGGAAGGTTGGCGGGAAACGAGGGCCGCGATGCGGCGTCGCGATGTTTCCTGTGAAGGATCAACGAATCACAATGTTAAGTCTCTATCATGTGTGTTTAGCACGTAAGCGACGGATCTACGATGCCCGTGCCACGCTCCACAAATCCTCGGCGAGCAACAGCGGCAGCGCCAGCAGCAGCTACTCCCGCTATCGCAGCAGCAGCGGAGGAGGCAGTGGCTATGGTGGTTATGGCCGGGACTACGACTATGACTATTATCCGAGCTCCGGCCGAAGGTCCGGCAATCGCTATCAGGCGTTCACCTTCCGTAACTTGTTCGAGGGCACACCATTTCACAAGCTCTTTGGTAAAGGCCACAAGATGTTGCAAGTTGTTCGTTTATTGTTTACTTTGCTGCCTTGACAACCATGCCACCACCGCACGACGTTTGTTCTTCTTTGTTTTTTGTTGCAACTAATGTTAGGCCTGAGAACGTTAACCCAAATGCAGCCCAAAAAATGTTATTCAAACTAATCCAGACAAAATTCGCAAACACTTTGCAACCCATGACTGATGTGCCTTTCCTTTCGTTCTTTTCGCAGAGAAGAAACGTCGCATCTATGACGAGTACGGCAAGGATGGTCTGGGCGAACGCGGACAGAGCCGCAACTCCCATGCCCGTCATCATTACAACACACACGAGTTTGTCGATGACTTTGATATTATGGGCGGCTTTCCGTTTGTTTTCCGACCCCCCGAGGAGGTCTTCCGCGAGTTCTTTGGCGTAAATTCGCCCTTTGCCGACTTTTTCAGAGGTAAGTTTGTGCTGCTGCTCCAACGGATTCATCTAATTCCAGTCCAAACTCTATTTCAGATGCAAATGGCTACACAAACGGGACAATGAGTGGTGGCGTTGGCTCGAGCAGCAGTCGACGTCATGGGTCCAGTGCTGCGGGCGGTGGAGGAGCATCGCGCCATCATCATCACCATCACCAGCACAAAATGGCCAGCCCTTTTGGGGCGCCCTTGCTCAACTACTCAATGATGGATTTTTTTGTGCCCAACAGCGGTTTCACCTCGTTCTCGTCCATGGCAGCTGGCAATGGCAGCAGTGGCGTTACCCATATCTCTGGTGGCCCCAGTGCTGCCGTTAAGCGCACCTCCACATCGACGGTGTTTGTCAATGGCCAGAAGCTGATGACCAAGCGGTAAAGGATTCTCTTGCTCTGACCTCTGCATTTTCACTAAAAATTCTATTCTCACTCATTGCAGGGTCATCGAGAATGGCAAGGAAACTGTCTTTTCATATGAAAACGATGTCCTTAAATCAAAGACTGTGAACGGAGTTTCCCAAAAGCTCTCTTCAATATCTAATTAATGCAAGAAACAAATATATATAAACCATATACAAGCAGCAGTGGGCCACAACAACAACAACAACAGCAGTAACAACAACAGCAACAATCAACAACAAAGAAAAAGTCATAAATGTAAAGGAAAACAAACACTCACGAGGAGAACCTATAATTTCTTGAATGCTTCTTCGTTCCGATATATGGATACGTTCATTGATTTTGTTCTACATTAGAATTTAGTTAATTTTTAATGGAAAGAACAGCAGCAGCAGCCAGTAGCAGCCAGCATCAGCAGCCGAAGCACACCCAGGACCAAGAAGCAAACAGCCGGCCAGGCGTCGATGCCAAAATTCCTTGTCAATGCTAGTTATATTTTCAGCAATTTGTTTCGAAATCTTGCCACACACAATCGAAATTTGTATAGCTTGGAAGCGGTAATATGTTTCGAGACAAAGTGACTGAAAATAATAAAATCCAAAATGATTCGAGTAGCTACTTAAACACACGCAATCGACAAATGCTGTACGCTTAGGCAATTCTGAGCCACTAATTGTAATTCTAGGGGTCGGATAAGAACGTGGAATCCAAGGGCAAGTGTGTGTCTGTGTGCATGTGTATATGAATTGGGGGAGTGTTGAGTGGAGTGGGGGGGGAATTAAATATATATTTTATGTATGTACCTAGCTATCTACCTTTAGTCACTTAAGTTGCCACAATACTTACTAGAGAAAACAAAATGAAAATAAATGGAAAAAAACAACTAAAATGCAAAAACCAGCAAAACGAAATCGAAAACGAAACAACTGAGAGCTCGCTCTGCGCTGAGTTAAGCCTAAAACAACAAAAACACACCCGCATATATGCAGAATAATGAATGAATAAATAAATGAATACATTTCTGATGACATTAAATGTTTAAATATAAATATACATAATTCATAATTTTAAAACTCTGTGTTAATTTTAAAGAAATGTATTTCGTAGCGTATAGTCGTTTTTTAAATGCTTAAGCCTATTCTCTCACATAACAACCACAAAACGAATTGGCGGATTGAAAACAAATGAAAAATAATCTAACATACATGTAATCGCCCTTAATTTAATTCCTTGTTTTAGTAGCGCCTTCGAAAAACATTGAAAAAAGGTTGAGAACAACACACAAAAATAACTGAAAGAAACGCAATAAAACAACAAGCGATACCATTAAAATAAATGTTTCTTAATTTAATTAGAGATGGAATCAAAATAAATTCCATATTTGAACTGGCGCTTAGCATGAACAGCTGTGCGACATTGGCTGTACGATATACGAAATTCGATAGTCCACGAGTTTGCTGATCGATAACCGATCATACGAAAACGGCCACACTGAACAGATACAATTTATTAACACAAAAAAAAAAGAAATAAAAACAGATTAGAATTAAAAAGAACACCAATTAGATGGCCATACGATGAGTCGCGATGATCATATGAAATGGTTTCACGCTAATCTATCCCGGGAGGCGGCTGACGATCTGTTGAGACAAGGCAAGTTACGACAAGAGACAAACACTTTGATTTTCTCAGTCAGTGCAAACAGGGACGTGGGCGTGGCGTAGCCTAATGAATCGTAATTTCAATTGATTATCCCCCAACCCCACCACAGGCTACGAAGATGGTACGTTTCTGGTGCGGGAGAGCAGCACAGCAGCTGGCGATTTTGTGTTGAGCATTTTGTGCCAGGAGGAGGTGTGCCATTATCAGGTGCGACGCCACGGGGAGGATGCCTTCTTCTCCATCGATGATGAGATGCAGACAAAGATACTCCACGGGCTGGACACTCTGGTGGACTACTATCAGCAGGGTGCGAACGGGCTGCCCACCAAGCTGACGGTGCCGCTAATACGTGACCCGCCGCCTCACAACACACGCAGTCATGGCGTGACCAACCTGCTGCACCGCGCCACCAGCAAGAACGAGAGCAAAGTGGTCTTTGAGCTGCTCAAGTGTGGCTACCGCAACTTCGATGCCAAGAATCAGCATGGACAGACGGCCCTCCATCTCGCCGCGCTGCACTGTGATGAGGAGATCTTGAAGCTGTTGCTGAATGCAAAAGTTCAGGTCAATAGCTCGGACTCCTTTGGATGCCAGCCCTTGCATGTGAGTGTCAAGTGATCTTGAGTGCTGCTTCCCCTGCTAATTCTCGCTTTAATCTGTACAGTATGCGGCACGGAGTAAACCTGCCAGCTTCATACGCACTCTGATCGCTGCCCAGGCCAATGTGCAGGGCAGAAACATAGAGAACGGATTCGTGCCGCTGCATGAGGCAGCCAAGCATGGCAATCTGGAGGCTGTGCAGGAGCTGTTGCTGGCCGAAGCCCCACTGCTGCCGCGCACCAGCTCTGGCGAGTTTCCCTTCGATCTGGCCAAGGAAGCGGGACAAACGAGCGTCGAGCAGTTTCTGCTCAACTATAAGCTGCCGCCGGCAAGCACCACCAGAGAGCAGTGGTACCATGGCACACAGACGCGAGACGAGGCCGTGGCCATGCTCACGCAATATGCCAAAGAGCTGTTGGCTAAGCAGCCGGGCGTGGATACCTCTGGCTGCTTTCTTGTGCGCTATTCCGAATCCCCGGCTGCGTCTGGACTGGTACTGACCCTCCTCAGCGATCAGGTGGTGAAAAACTTTCGCATATCCCAAGCGCCGCTCTACTCGAACGGTGTCAAAGTACACCCGGATGGCGTGAGTGATGAAAAAACAACATTTTAGGGAGACAAAATCCTCACACGAATCTCTGCCTCTTTCAGTCTAAGTTCATGTTCATTGATGACGGTCCCTACTGGCCCAGCCTGGAACATCTGATAGCCAACTTTATGCGCTTCTCGTATGGCCTGCCGGTTAGCCTGAAGTATGCAGTGCCGCCAAAGCCCAAGCCGGAGGTGCCCTCATTCGCAACCATACCACGATCTACGGTGAAGCACAGGACAACGCCACCGGTGACGCCGCCCACTCCAGTGCCCCATCCGCACCACGCCCACCCGCATGCACCCGCCCTGACCATTGCGAAGAAGAAGCAAAAGGAGAACAGCAGCTCCATGTTCAACACGCTGCGCCTGACGAGCCCCAAGAAGGCGCTCTTCGACATGAACAGCCTGCGCAAGAGCAAATCCAAGAGCAAGCGATCCGAGTCCGAGAGCAGCGTAAGCGGATCGCTGGCCAAGTCCGAGCGGGAGCAGGAGCTCCAGGCAGCTGCCCCAATGCTCAAGAGTTTATCATTCTCCACGGAATTTTCGAATTTCAATGTGGATGCAGCCAGTCCAGGAGCTGCAGCTGCAGCAGCTGAAGGAGAGCTGTACAATGTGCCACGGAACAATACGCCCATTGAGATTGATCTGCCGCCAATTGCCCAAAAGACTGAAGCAGAAGTTGAGTATTTCACGAAGAGCGATGTGGCCATTGAACGGGAGCGTGCTGGCCAGTGGAACACCACTGGCTATCAGCAGACTGTGGATGTGCTCTGGCTGTTGGATCAGCCGGTCAAGACGCTGCCCCCGGCAGCGACTCGCCTCAATTCGCTCATCTCCACAGCCTCCACGGAGAGCGAAATGGCTGGCTATCTGCACAGAAAGTGCAGTGATACGCCAACCACGCCCACTTCAGCCGCTTTGGAGGCGGCCAAGCTGAGGTTTTTCATCGACCAAGAGAATCTATTGCTGGATAATGAAATCGGACATGGGGAATTCGGGTCAGTGCACCGCGGCTGGCTGGTGAAGAAGAGCAGAGAGGGCAGCGACGAGTCGTCCCGCCAGGAGGTGGCCATCAAAATGCTGTGCGATGAGCACAGCAACAAGCAGGAGTTTCTGCGCGAAGCCTCGGTGATGATGCGCCTGGAGCACAAGTGCATTGTGCGTCTCATTGGCATTTCGAAGGGGGATATGCTGATGATGGTCCAGGAGCTGGCTCCCCTGGGCTCCATGCTTCAGTACATACTCGATCACAGTGCACAGATCACGGCCAACACAGAGCTAAAGCTGTGGGCATCTCAGATCGCTTCTGGTATGTACAAAAGAGTCAACAAAGCAAAGCTCAGTTTTACTCTCTCCTTTTGCAGGCATGCATTATCTTGAGTCTCAGCATTTTGTGCACCGTGATCTTGCGGCCAGGAACATATTGTTGACTGCCCGCCATCAGGCGAAGATCAGCGACTTTGGCATGTCGCGTTCCCTGCGGCCGGGCAGCACGGAGTATCAGTTTACACAGGGCGGCCGCTGGCCCATTCGTTGGTACGCGCCGGAGAGCTTCAATCTGGGTGTCTTCTCGCATGCCAGTGACGTGTGGTCGTTTGGGGTGACCATTTGGGAGATGTTTGCCCTCGGTGCGCCGCCCTATGGCGAGATTTCCAATGTGGATGCCATCAAGCTGGTGGACAGTGGCGAGCGTTTGCCACAGCCAGATCTGTGCCCTGCCTACATCTATGCCGCAATGCTGAGCTGCTGGAAGGAGCATCCCAAAGACCGGCCTACGTTTGCCTATCTAATGGAGTTCTTCACCCGCGATCCCGACTACCAAAACCTGCCCGACATGGTGCAAACTGTTCATATATAGGAGCCTGCGTGGTGCTTCACCTTCGTCCCATTCTTTTTCAAGTGCAATTTTCTCTGTTTAAAGTTAATTTTTATGTTTTTGTCTTGTCTTGTCCCGTAGATCGCACTTGTTATCCCTCTGAAAGTATTTCACGAGTTTTGATCTACATAAGTTGTATATTTAATAATCTGTAATAATCGTACAACAAATGTGTCAATCGAAAGTGCCTTAAAAACATTTATAAAACTAACTTTTATATCAATGTTGACTCTATTGTTTATGATATTATTCATGGCACTGATGTTGTTGTCATGTCCCCACACAGTTTACACACCAACCACACAGTTGTTAGCAATCGTTTTTTGTTTAATAATATGAGGATTATATTGTATTTTGTATCCTTGACGCTGATTGTACATATATTCCTATGGGTAAGTGCTACCCTTAGACCTCTGTGAAAACGTTGTTCATTCTCAAATTGCAGTTTCAGTTGCCATGCATCGATGCCAGGAGCGTCACCATGGATATCGGCGGCAGAAACTCTACCAGCAATGGCACACTCGCTCCACTCGAGCCGAAGACCAACGCCACCACCAAGGAGAGGCCTCCATCTTCAAGCAGTCCCCCCTCCACCATGAAGACCATTAAGCGCATAAGGCGAGCGCGAACAGATCTACCCAAATATAAATTCACATTCGATGAGTCGCACCTGCCCTGCGACTACGATGTTACTGGATCATTCAAGTTTATGAGTGACTTTCCCAAATACTGCAGAGACTCGTACCAGCAGAGGTTCATGAGCGAGGCAGAGTATCGCATGTATATGCTGTATCAGACGGAGGGATTCTTCTTTGGCCAATACCACGAGCGCTTGATACGCTTTGAGAAGGATACACACACCTTTGACTACCGTGATACTGGCTTTTGAGATTCGATTGCAGCAATTAAATTATCGGTAGAGACAGTGTCCAACTGGTGCTAGTTCTTACTGGGGTTTGTTTAGAAATGTTTAAACATTTTATTGCAGTTCTTTTTATACAAAAACGTGGATAACATAAGTTGTGTTAGTTGTTTCAAAGTTTGTATATTAATTGTAAACTATGTTAGTAATATGTTTTTCATGGAAATACTACAATCTACGTTAGGCGGATTAGTTGTTGGACTATAGAATGGTATAGTTATATTTGTTTGCCGCTAAGAAAGCTTCAATCATCCGGAGCCGTTCATTGCCTGCTTGACATTCGATGCGGAGACGAGCTTCAGGGCACCCATGATGCCATTCAGATTCTGCTCGTTGTAGGCCTTGCCCTGCAGGGGCGTCACTACGGGCACAGTCTCATCGCTGTGCGGCAGCTTAATGCCGATTTCTTTCATCAAACCCTGCGAGAAAGAGTACACAATTATATGGGCATATAAAGGAGCTACCGTGTTGCACTCACCGCATCAACTTCGACCGTCAGCTTGAGCCTCATGCCCTGCTCGTCGCCCTTCAGCTCTAGATCCTTTTCGACGGTGAACTTCGGGGTCTTGCCAATGACCCAATCCCAAGAGCTATAGTTGGACCGCAGCTCTTCGATGCCGGGGAACCATTTCTCTGTGGGATTGATCAATTGGAAGCCACGCTGCTGCATTGTCTGAGCGTTTCCGCCATCCTCCAAGGCTGTGGCCACCGTCCGCAGGTATTCGTATCCAACCGCGGAGAGCAGCTGCGAGACATTCACATTCGGATTCACATCCACCAGATTGCGTATGGGCGAAGGCACTGAGGCTGTGGCACGACTGATGTAGTTGGCTGGCTCCTTCACCAGAGACTCTCCCAAATGCAGCTTGTTGGCGCTGGCCAGAATGGTGCAGTGGTGATAGGAGTTCGGGTGTCCCAGCTTCGCAGCCGTTCCAGAAATCTGTAATTGAGCAAGGGCGAAAATTATCAATGGGAATGTGAACAGATGCGACTACGAGTGCAGCTGTACGTAGAGGTGTGTGCTGACGCTAGTGCAAGGTCAACTAGAGATCAGTGGCTGAGATAAGAGGCACTGATGCTCTGCCTCCCTGCTCTTACCTTCTTGTTCCTTATCACAATGTCGTCACGCTCATTGATCTCCGCCTTGATGGCCCACTCGCGGAACAGCGCCCTTGTGACAATATTCAAATTGTACTTGCGATCGTAGCGCTCTCTGGGCGTGAAGAAGGTGCAATTGAGATTGCCGCGATCGTGGTAAACGGCTCCGCCGCCACTGTTGCGCCGTGCCAGAGTAATGCCACGCTCCACCAGCTGGGAAACGTTCGCTTCGGTAAAGGGATTCTGGTGACGGCCGATGACCACACAGGGATCGTTGGCCCACAGCAGTAGGACGTGATGGTGGCCAAAATCAAAGTTCTTGTACAGCCAGTCCTCGAGGGCCAGGTTGGTGAAGATGTCATTCGACTGTGAGATGAACACGGACTTCTTGATCTCGGCATCGGGCACAGCTGGCGGGGTCTGGCGCTGACGATTGCTCAGCTTTGCAGCTGTGGGGGGAACCGCTGAGGCAGACGACGACGGTTCACCTACATCGCTGCTATCAGTTGAGGCGAGGCGCGTGATTTTGCTTCCAGATGCCAGCAGCAGACGCAGCTGGCTCGAATTGCGACGCAAGAGCAAGCTCATTGTGGCTCGAGGAAGTGGGAAAACTGCTTCGTGTGTTGTCAAGCAGTGCTGGTGCAGGCAACGAATTGCACTTGTAACCAAAACAAGGTCAAAGATGTCGGCAAAAGCTCTTAACGGTTGTTGTTGTTATGCTTGCTGCTGTTGATTTTTGTTGTTTCTGCGGGGTTATGTTGAATTTTGATTGTCTGTTCTAATTTAGAATCGAATTTCCTATCTACTTTAGCTAATATTGTCGATCTATATTCGTTTGGTATTTTTGCTTTGGTCTTAGGGTGGACTTTAGACTGTCGCTCTGGGCTCGCTCGCCTTGCCTGTGTTTGCAGCAACCGAACTGGCGGAGATGAGGTACTCGTGCAGGGCTGGGGTCTGGTGCAGCCACTTGAAGGTTTGATGGAGACCACAGACACGCTTTCGGAGACCCAGGCAGTCCTTGTTGCAGCAGTTCTCTTGCATACTACGCCTCACACCCATCCAAAGAAAATCAAAGCCGAAACGATCAGAATTTTGGGCCAGAAAAGACGATCTTTTCTTGACCAGCAGCAAAGCAGCGCAGCAAGCAGTTCTTCAGGTGTTTTTCCACTCGGGTACTCCGCAACACAAAAGGATTTTTCTGCTGACTTGGAAATTTTCCACTCTTTGTTCGCGACGGTCGACGGCACGCGGCGGAAAATGAGCGGGGGGTAGACAAACAATTCGATTGGCTGGGCGGCAATGAAACGTCTTCTCCACAAAAAAGAGCACTTCGAAATGTGACTTTTTCGTTTTGTTGTTGATATGACATGTATTCGTTAGTGTGACCAGAGAGGGAGAGAAAAAAGTTCGTTGGAGCTTTCGCTCAGCTGTGACTTTGTTGTTGTTGTACAATTTAATTCTATTTGCGTGATTCAAGACAAATTTATTTTATAAATAAGACATTTTGTTCGAGTCAGAGTTGCAATTTTAGTTGGGTATGCCACCGTTGTTGATGTACTCCGCCTCGAGAGGATCTATGGGTTTGCGTGCAAAGCGTGCCGGCAGCTCCCAATCCTCAATGGCAGGTCCTCCAGCCAGCTGAAAAAAAGAGCAAATTAGTGTTTTCCAATGGTTCTACACTACTACACAATAAGTTCTCTAGTAAATGGGCTTAAACAGTTAACCTTTTTGCCTCCTGCTGGCTTTGAACTTGCCTGCTTATTTGCAGTCTGTGCACCGGCTGCTGCCGCACCCAATCCTCCTTTGCGGAACTGTATGAGCGGCACACGCTTGGCCAAACCAATAACCGTGGGACGTACCATTTCTTTATGGGCAAATTTTGTATATTTCGTCAAAAGAGTTTAGGAAAAGAAAAGTTTGGATTGGTGTTCCAGTTACGTGAATAACAGCTGACGCTGAACAGGGCTGCCAAATCGTGCAGTTTGGTATTGCTCCCATCTCTACGTTACTATCGATGCGGCTTTTATCGTAGAAGTAATTTCGATACGCTTTTCTGCACATCTCCAACACTAAGCAAAAAGACAACAAAATAAATTAATAAAAAACTGCCGCAAATAGCAACAACCGACAATTTACCCTGAATTCCATTTCAACCGTTGATCGGTTTCGTAAAGGCGCCCATCGAAAGCATTCTAGCATTGTATTTTGGGGAGGCTTTTCACAATGAACGTCACAGCAGGCGGTACTGGGACGACCAGTGCGAGTGCGGCTGCAGCCAACAGCGTTTTCAACAATACTCTGCTGGCATCTGCGACTGGAGCCACCACCATGCCGATGGCCCAACTTGCGGACGGTTGGCTGGAACTGGAGTCCGATCCGGGTCTCTTCACGCTGCTGCTGGAGGATTTCGGCTGTAACTATTAGCCTGATTGACTGCTCATCCCACCAAAATTCATATACATTTGATTTCAGGTCACGACGTTCAGGTGGAGGAGGTGTATGATCTACAGAAGCCGATCGAGAGCCCCTACGGTTTCATTTTCCTCTTTCGCTGGATCGAAGAGCGGCGTGCACGTCGGAAGATAGTGGAGACTACCGCTGAGATCTTCGTTAAGGACGAAGAAGCCATCTCCAGCATATTCTTTGCCCAGCAGGTTGTGCCCAATAGCTGTGCTACCCATGCCCTGCTGTCTGTTCTCTTGAACTGCAACGAGAATAACTTGCAGTTGGGCGATACGCTAAGTCGCCTGAAGATCCACACCAAAGGCATGAGCCCGGAAAACAAAGGTCTGGCCATAGGCAACACCCCGGAGCTGGCATGTGCCCACAACTCGCATGCCATGCCGCAGGCACGACGCCGCCTGGAGCGGACTGGCGCTGGTGTCGCCAGCTGCCGTTTTACGGGAGAAGCCTTTCACTTTGTCAGCTTTGTGCCCATAAATGGTCAACTGTTTGAGCTCGATGGTCTGAAGCCGTACCCCATGAATCATGGCGGATGGGAGGACCATGAGGACTGGACGGATAAGTTTCGGCGTGTGATGGCGGAGAGACTGGGCATCGCCACGGGCGAACAGGACATACGCTTCAATCTGATGGCCGTTGTGCCCGACAGACGGATTGCAATCACTCACAAATTGAAAATGCTTCGCACCAATCAGGCAATTGTGTCCGGCACACTGCAGAAGCTGCTGAAGGCAGACGAGCAAGGCGAAGCGGGAAATGGTGACCAGCAGCGACCGGACACACCCACCACACTGCTGGAGCCAAGCGCCTTCACCGCACGCGATCTGCAGTCGCTGCTCAAGAACCTCGACACAGAAATTGCCATCAATGAGCAGCATTTGGCGGATGAGAACGATCGCCGACAAATGTTCAAAGTGGATGCCAGTCGCCGCACACACAATTACGACAAATTCATCTGCACCTTCCTCTCCATGCTGGCCCACCAGGGCGTGCTCGGCGAGCTGGTCAGCCAGCATCTGTTGCCCTCGCGGAAGGTGAGCGGCCAAAGTGCTGCCAATCGCATAAGCAAACAAAACAGTGCCGCCTCGAGTGCAGGGGCCAACGCTGCCGCCAACGCCGGCTCCACGTCCAAGAGTCAACAGCAGCAGCCGCAGCAAGCGGCAGCTTCGAAAAATGGCAAATCTCCAGGCAAAAGTCCAGGCAGACGCCGTAAAGGGCGCAACAAGTGCAGGAAGCGAAAGTAGAGATTAAGTTTCAAAATAAATTTCAATTTATGCATTTATACATACTGATTTATGTATTTACATATGAATGTATGTATTTGATGTACCCGCCATTCCAGTATCGAATATAAAAGAACAACTTGGCTTGGCAGCTTCTTAAGTTTTATTGATCAGTTTTCGGATCATTTTAATAATAAAAAAACCATTTTGTTCATATGATTAATGTTCTGCGAATCCTTGACACAGCAAGGACACCACAGCAAACGTGTGTGTGTGTATGCATTATAATTAATATAATGTTCTGATATATATTTATATATCTATGATAGTTTTATAACAAAAAACGTACTCATTCAATAATTCTCTGGTCTACCCTCTTGTTTTCTTGGGGCTAAAACATTTCATGCACTCGATGTAAAGTTGATTGTAACAGAAAACAATGAATGCAATAATAGCAGGATGTGTGTGTGTGTGCAATCAATTCAATGATTTATTATAAACTATAAAAGGCATTTGATGGGCACTCTCAAATGGCTAACAAAACAATTTACTTTCTGTCTTATAGTAACTGGGGGGGTTAACGATGCTTCTTTAGTGTGACTGACTGACTGATAATTTTGCTTGACTAAGTCTAAAATATTTTACTGGCATTTACACACCCCCCTTTTGGGGGCTTTTGCCGTTCTATATGTAATGTAGTTCTATATACGCCTTACGGTGCGTTGCGATGCGATGTGTGTGGTGAGCAGTACGACGAGAGCAGCCTTTAAAAAACGCAGACACTTATTTTATGCTATTCTGTTTGCCAGTTGCCAATTGCCTTTGATGTTGTAGCTTTATCAGAGTCCCCAATTTGTGACTTTGTTGTTTGCCTTACTTGTGGAGTGTTCAACTAGATACCGTCGCATTGGCAGCCGCTGTCTCGCCATTTGTGAGCTGTGCGGGCGCTGCTTGCTCCTGATTATTGTCGTTGCCAGTGGCCACAACCGAGTCCGAGTCTCCATTGTTATTGGCAGAGGCCACAATCGATTTGATCGCCTCGTTCACATCACTCTCATCGGTATTGGCTTTCAAATGCTTCTCAATTTCGCTGCGCACCTTAACAATGTCCCTTTGGCTGTGGGGAAAGATCAAAAACATTAGCCTGCTGTTTCGGATTGGAGTTGCAGCCACAAGACTCACCTAATTTGCACAAACAGAATGCCATTGATTGTGTTCAGCATCTCCAGCACTGAGCCCATTGAGGGCGGTGTAATGTGAATGGGCGGCAGGTCGCTGGTCAGCTTGCCATTGGAATAGATATCGTTCATCTTGCGCTGCAGGAGCACAGCTTGCTGGGTCAACAGTCGCAGACATTCCGCCGAGTCCCGAGTCTTTTCATGCTTATCGCCAAGCTAAGGCAAACACAAATGAGTGTTATTTGTGGTTCATTTGAGTGGGTGCACGCCCTCTTACCTGTGACTTGTAAATGGTGTACGTTTCCTTTTCATTGTTCAGCGCCGAGCGGAAGTCGCCCATGCAGGACTGTGTGCGTGCCATCAAATGATAGCTGACTGCCACATGCATTGCCTTGTTGCCAAAGTACTTCAAGTTCAGCTTCAAGGCGTGCTCGATGAAGCGCAGCGACAGGTCATACTCTCCCAGCGCATGCAGAATCAAGCTGATGTTGCTCTGAAATAAGCAAAAGAAACAATCAATATTCCTCGTTCCGCTGCTGCACGCTCATTCAATTCTTACATCGATCAGTGCCACCTCAGGATGATCTTCGCCGCAAGTCAGCACCAACAGGTAGCGAGCTCTGTACAAAAGTTTCAGGGACATGCCCACATGTCCGTTGGCAAACGAATACAGCGATAAATGTGTCTGCAAATAATTGTTTAACAATTAACTGAAGGGATAACAACTGGGGGGGACTTTGCTTACGTATTCCAAAATGGTCGATGGATTGTCAATGCCATTTACGCGCTCACTCATGATAACCGCACGCTGCTGAATGGCCAAGGCGTCTTGGGCATCGCCCAGCAGATAGCTGAGGCGAGCCAACATCCTCAGGCATGAGCCGTTCTCCTGGTGCATGGCCCCAAAGACATTATTCAGCAGATTGAGCGCTTCGCTGATCAGTTCGTAGCCCTCCTTGAAGAGTCCCTGCTGTATCTTGGCCTGGCCCGTGGTGTAGAAGTTGTAGGCATCGGATGCCCTGGGGCTTATGTGCTTCACCACCGGGAACACATTGACGATGTCATCGTCGCCGAACGTGGGCTTGTGCTTGGAATCAAAGTTGTACTCGCGCAGGAGCACCTGAATTCCCACCTTCAGACAGAAGGCGCGCAGCAGGCAGATCCGCATGATGCCAAACTTCTGCATGGCACTGTCCATGGAGTCGCAGTCGAGATCCCAGTCCCAGTAGGCCTTCGATTCGCGGCGTATCTGCTGCCACAGCGAACGTGGTGTGACCTGGGTCCAGTCGTAGGCGCTCGTGGAGCTCGAGGAGGATGTTGAGCTGCCGCTCCCATTCAGGTTCTGGGTCGCCGCCTGCTGCTGTTGCTGCTGTCCCTTGCCGCCCTTGGAGGACTTGTGCTTGTTGTGCTTGCCGCCACCGTTGCCGCCACGCTTCTTGTGCACCTCATCGTTGCTGATGACCGGATTGACGGGCCCATTGGTCAGCAGGCAGTTCAGAAAGTGGCTGATGGCGACGGACAGGTGCATGGGATCGGTGCTCTGCATGTAGGTGTAGTAAATGTGTTTGGTTGCCCTCACAATTAGCTCCATGATGGCAATGCGATGCAGATATTCCATGCGTGGCATCTGGCCCAGCGTCTTAATCACCTTGCCCAGATACCGCACATTGATGCCGTGGTAGTGCAGCGACTCGGTCAGATTCTGGCCATCGATGGGTGGCGAGGAGTGGGACAGATGCTCCTTGACAAAGGCGGGTATCTGTTTGACCACAAGGAACTCGGCGGCCTCCTGCACGAGCAGCTTCTGCTTGGCCACCGATCCGGAGGTGCTGTCCTCGCCATCAACGTGACGGATGCCCGGCGAGAAGACGTCGGGATTGAAGCGGAAATCGAATTCCTTTTCCTTTATCGAACCAACGGCGGCACAAGCCTGCTTGACTACCTCGGCAGCCTGCACTTCATTGGAGGTGGCCACATGCGACTGGGCTTCCCGTATGGCATTGACCATCGCCTCGGCGTTCTTTGTCTCGACTGGAGTTGCTTGTTCCTCTTTGGGTTCCTGCACCTTCTCGATTTGCTTCTCATTTCCATTCTCCTTGTTCTCCTTTTCAGCCTCTTCAATGGCAGGCAATTTTTTCTTCTCCTGTGACTCCTGTTCCTCCGGCTTCTTGGCATTCAGCTGCTGCAGATGCATGGCAGCAATGCGAATAAAGTTCACGTAGCGATCCTCAACGAAGGCCTCCAGCAGCTCCTGCCTGAGGCAGCACAACTTGTGGCGATGCTCGATGGGGAAACCCATTTCCACCAGCTCCTTGCTCAGCTTCACATCCTGCAGCTTCAGGAAGTTGACGTCTGGCGGGAAGGTGCGCAGCAGATCGAGAATATAGTGCCTGCCATCGTTGCCAATGATGCCCTTGCACTCCACCGAAGAGCACAGCTCCACAGGCTCATCCCGTTCATTGTACACGGAGTGGGGAAGGATCTTCAGATGCTTGCCCGCCTGCCGCAGCAGCTCCAAGTACTTGGGATGGCTCAAAACAGTCTTGCCAAAGTCTATGGATCCATAGACGACGCTCTGCTCCTGCTCGCGCTCCAGAATGCCCGGGATGATGGACTGGGCAGTCACTCTGTAGCCACGATAGTCAATAACCACCGTGCCCAGGGTGTACAGACCCTCCACATCGACGGCATTGTATACCCGCACACCATGGAGGTCATAGCGGGGCGCAACATACGCGGCGTAGTCACCGCCCAGCTCCTTGTAGTGGTCCCTCACATCGAAGCCGAGCGAGAAGAATATGTTGTTCCAAATGAACATCTGCATCTTGGAGTCCTCGCCGGGATTGATGGCCAGCACATTGCCATCAATGACGGCCATGGCTCCCCGTGTGGCGGCAGTGACAAAGTCGCCATGGACCTTGAATATGGCGCGCTCGCGCAGCAAGCGCTCTGGCAGTGTCTTGCGAGGAAGCTCACGCGTCGTCTGCAACTCCTCGTTCCAGTCACGCGTCTGGCCGGGTATGTGCTCTTCGTATCTGCACCAAATGAACGAAAAACCAACGCCAAGCGTGTGATTAAAGGATCGAAGGGATTGCTTACTAATTCGTCACTTACCCCAACTTGGAGCTAAAGGCATCCTCGGCACGTATGGCATCTACGGTGTGCTCCAGTGTGGGCGCTGCCCACTGGTACACCTGGTAGGGTGTGGCCACCCGCTCGAAGGCATGTCGCAGCGTGCGACGCTTCTGTATGGTCTGGAAGGCACGTCGGAACGAGGGCGATATGTGGGAGAGCAGATCGATGAGCGAGTGGCTCAGATGGCTGGGATTGTCTGGCTTTGGGTTGAAGGTGTCGTCCGTGGACTGATTGATGAAGAAGCCCCTCGAGCAGGCCGAGATATGATAGCGCTTCTCCTCCATGGTGATGACATACAGATACATGAGATCGCCGTGCAGCTTGCGGGGACCAGGCGGCGGATTCCACGCGGATGTGGTGAGCACCTTCAGGGCCTGTGGCCCCTTGGCGTTCTTGAAGTTCGGATGGAGGGGCAGCAGCGGCGGCTCATACACACCGGGCGTCACATAGTCCGGCGGCGTGCAGTCAACAGAGTCGGGGCGCGTCTTCTTCTTGTCCAAGAGATCGCCCTGCGTGATCGTGTTCAAGTAGGTCAGCGAGGTGCATTCAATGCCATTGTAGGCATCGGCGGGATCCAAATTCTTCAGCAGATCGCGCACATGGCGCACGTGAATGCGTGCCTCTCGCATGGTGTACGGCTCCTCGACCACTTTGATGGTGGAGCCCGACTCCAGTTGCTCAATCGTTTTCAGCTCGGCGAAGTTGTCGAGCGTCACGTTGTCCAGCTGAAGGGAGAAGCAGGTCCTGTGGCA